CAGCAATGTTTTTTGGACAGTTAGCGATATCGAGCCATCAGAGCGATAAGCCATCTCGTTCCTCGATTAAATTCTACTCGTGCGAGTCACAAGAATTTATTTCTACTATTTCAAGTACTGTTCGGTCGATTTGTTTTTGTTTAACGGCAATACGAACGATTATCGATTTCTATATGCGTCAACGCACCCAATAGCAGATTGTTTCACGCTATTCTGATATTTGTTATTGTTGCTAGAATTGCAATTCTGTTATATTTAAAATTAGCTTCGTTCGCATTAATACTTTGACATAGATACAATTTATATGTAAATAACAAATTTGCAAATTTATATATCTGTAATAGATATTTTTTTAAGTTTTTCGCTTACGTACATTTTCTCCACTTTTATCCGTTTTAAAAAAATTTTTAATTTACAAAATTTAAAAAATTTAAATAGAAAGAAATGTGTATAGAGTAGGAAATAATTTTACTTAATAATCTATAAAAAAATATCTTACTTTATTGCTTATCTTTCTCGTTTTAAGTTTGTATCTATTGAACATTTCAATGACATAGAACGACTCCTTTCTGTGACAACAAGCGTAATTTTGTCGATCTTCGCGATCAGACCTAACGACCACCTAAGTGTTTCTCGATTTCTCCATTTCTTTCCAAAGTAGTATTTGTTACTATGACCTTAAATTCCTGTTCCCTTGAGCTCGATATCGTTTAACGTTATTTTCTTCCTTTGTTCGCTATTCGCACAACCTTACTTTCGTATCGCAATATAACAAAGTACGGACAAAAATCTATTTATTAATATTATTAATTTATTTTATTAATTTTTGTATAAGAAATTATTCCAATTTACATATTAATCCATCTCATACATTTTGGTTACAACGTAACAAAATTTGACCGAATATTAATACCAGAAACCATCAATTTAAAAATTCAAAAATATGCTTGTTAGATTTGGCCAATTGGTCTCAAAATAGTCTTGTATTTTTTTCGTATATCTTTTTTTATCTATTCAGCGAATGCTGAACATACCTATCTACATCCGGCAATTTTTGTTACATCCATACTTATTCATTGACGCCGATATTGTGCAGCGTATTGATCTTCCAGCAAAGAGATTAATTTTTCCGGATATCGGATGGTCGAGCTGTGCCATCAACACAAAACATTCGATACGTAGTTCACGGGAATAAAAAATGTTTGGCCCGAATACGATACCGCTGCTAACATCAGAAAATCAATTTCCAGTTCAGCTATCGTCAATAATTCATGGGATCGTGATTCAGCGGAATCCGAGGCTGCCGCCTCACACGTATCCCCCTTCACACATGACCTTCGTACGTCGCAGCTAAATTTCTTGTAATGCCTGAATTATGAATTCCGTCAACGTGTGTAGAAGTTTGTGGCGGTACGAGCGGCAATGCGCCGTCGTCATAAATCATCGACGTGAACCGACGTGAAACCGTAAAAATCTAGGGGTATCGGTCCATCTCATTCGAATTACGTATAAGCGCGCAGTTTATCACCGCCATTTCCTATTTTGCCGGCGCAAGTAATACGGGCATAATATCTCACAAGTGTAATATATTCTATCTGAGTACAATATATTTCCACGGCAGAATATCAAACTTGGCGGAGAGAGACGGAGGCTGAGGCCGGCTCGATGGCGGAGGCAAATGAGAGATATGAGACCGTTGCGATGTGCGTATGCATCATATCGATGTAAAATCAGTTAAATCTCGTTCCTTTCACGCGGCAGGAAATCACTCAAAAATTGCTCCACGGTCTTATATAATATATAAACACGCGAATAAATAACGCGTCCCGTTGCAATGTGCCATTTGTGCATTTTATTTAATTTTTCAAATCGAAGCATGCATTTGTGCAAATCATTGAAATGTGTATGTATGTATGTATGTATGTATATATGTATGTTTGTAACAAATGTCTGCAATGCTGTAAAACGTTATCGCTCATGGCACGCATTAACGCGAGAGTTAAATCGAGCGAAGCACATCGCCGTTATTGTCGTTATTTTTAGCTTCGCACAAACATATATATATATATATGCGAGAGTGCTGAACAATGTAATAATTTTTGTAAACTTAATAAAACTCAACTTGTATCGCGCAATATTGTAGAATTAAATCATTCCATACAAACGTACGATATTATTGCGTTTTTAACTATCCAATAATGTCCCTTCTTCATTTAGAAGAATGTTTATTTTTGAATTGTTTTACGATACAACTTAATAATTTATTTTATATTTATATTTCATTTATATTTTTTTATCTCATATTTTAATTTAAGTAATTAACAATTAATTTGAAATTTGATAAATTAATTAATTAATCTCTAATAATAAAGTATTATTAAAATTGATAATATCAGGAAGAGTAATTGGTTTTTCGGTTATTTTATTCACATTTTCCCTGAGCGATTCAGTGAAATATGTGTAATTTAGATCAAAGCGACGTATTATAAAGTGTCTCCGTTCCGTTAAAAATGGAACTTTTTTTAACCGACACGGTACAAAAGTGCTGTAAGTGGAACTGCAATCGTGGGAACACACATCTCTCGAAAGTTATTTTGTGGTGAGAATAAAAACTTGAACGACGGCAAACACGAGACAGATATTACAGCGGCGTTTCCCTTTAAAGTCCTCCAGTCGAATTAATGACAGAAGTTTACCGGAAGTAATAACGGTACCACGGGTACTTTATTTAGTCTTGATATCGAGCATCGATTTCCAAGTTCCATAAACCCCCCATCGATGCCATCGAAATAAGAGTAATGCTTAAACATTACAGCCGAACATCTGAACTTTATTGAGTTTTCGAGCGTTTGAAAACATTCGAGATAAGCAGATAATGGATGATAAACCACGATTATATCGGCACTTATTGTGCGCGAATTAATCGCTGGTGCATGCGTCACACGCAAAATATCGCATGTTTTTACATTTTATACGGACACGTATTTAATTTTGATTAATTAATCATTTGTTAATTCCACATTCATCTGTGATTATAAATACGATATCCGCGCCACCGGAGAGTAATATAATATCATAAATGTTACACGAAAGTAGATAATTGATACGTCGGCAAAGTGTACTCTGGGCAAACGTTTAACGTTAAATTGCATTGGAGTTCATCGTATCAGTAGTACCGTTTCAATATGATGTTTTACATATAACTAATAAACTGATAGCGTTTTCAAGAAAATTGATGATTTAAGAGAGAGAATTCTCCTGCAAATTTTACATTATTATTATAGCTTTCGATTCGACAATTTAATTTGCCGGAATTTGTACTTAACGTATCGCATCTAACGATACTCCTTCTTTTCCCTTTTTATCTTGAAACGTACCGTATTTATTAATGCTTTTGAAGCATTATACATACATAGCGTCGCGTCTGTAAGGGTTGCAAAAAACACGATAATATCTTTTTCTCGCGTTTCCCCGGTTTGGTATAATGTCGAATATTTTCTGCGTTTGCTACCCTTGAACGGGCGATCCGGATGAGAGGGTCGTTAGCTCGCGTTGGCACGGAAGAGCCTAGACAGGAATCTTATCTACGAATGCTGGGCACCGATCCAGTCTTTCGTCTAGACGAGGGGTCGACCCCTAATATATGGTTCGATAAAGTTTTCTTTACTTCTACTAACTTATTCAATATTCGTCAGCGAATTTTCGTTTCATTAAAAAGCGGAATACTTACTAGAAAGATTTATTTTTTTATGTAAAATTCATAATAATTGGATAGAGAAAGAGAGAGGGAGAGAGAGAGAATGCGGTAAGAAATAATCGCTTATTAAACGTGTTAAGAAGTTCCATATCTCCGAAAAAGAAATATACATATTAATTCATCAGTTTTGATCTTTGTACACTCGAGAACGATTTACAAGAGTACTGAATATAAGCAAACATATGATGTTACGTCATCGCGTTGCAATCTGACATTTCTGCTTAATGTTTCGTAAAATATTCTTGTTTATAACGTAACATACTGTTTTCACGACGGTAGCAATTGATATGCTTTTCATTTTAACGAGATGATTAATTTGATCGAAGATAAATATTTAACTAAATCCTTCGTATGTGTGATTTTTGCTGGCTCGCTACAACGTTCAATAACATTCACTTCCGGCAAATGTTAAATGGGGTGTATATTTTATATTGATGAACATTAATTACACACAATTAAATATTATTTATGTATATCGAGAACAACAGGTGTCGCGCCTATATGTTCTGTGCGACGAATTAATTGAGAATAATGAATTACCTTGTCGGATGGGCGCGTTTTGTATAACGCATGTCGAATGTGCTGAAATATCAAAGGTAAAGGTGACAAGTAAAAACAAAATCGTTATAACGCATCGTACATCCGGAAGACTTTGCCGCTTAAACGGCAAAGTCTAATCTCTTCGTTCATATCTCTTCCAATATACATAAAGAAAGCTATTCCGTGAATAGTCTCCGCTTCTTCTGAAAATAGCTCGTCTCTATGTACGCAGATACTAACACAAAGAAGATCCGAATTTTGCAATGGCAAAACTTTGGTCTATCTTCATCCTTGTTCATCGTTCTATCGGTACTTTGATAGAGCAAAAGGGGAACGGAAGGTAGAGGCGGTTCGGAATTAAACTTTCGCGTGAAGACAATGGAGACCTATCTCGGTACACACGTTGAAAGAGACCAGCAGAAGCAATTCTCCGGCAATATCTGTAGCAAAGGAGGCAGAAAGAGGAAGAGGTGTGGAAGAGGTCGAACAACGTCAATGTTACATCTGCTATACTTTTGATTTTCTTCTATTCTCTCTAAAAAGGAGATCGGACGATAAACATATTAAAGTGAAATTAAAAAATTATTCTTTGTTGAAACTAATTAATTTTTTTTTTTGTTAGATTTTGTTAGTGTCTATTAATTCTTTATTGCTTAAAAATAAACATAGTGACACTTTTCTATCCTTTTTTTTTATAATCCTGTTTAAAAATTAAAATTTCATTAAAAGTAAATTTTACATAAAAGAATGAAGGATATCCATCTATTTATCATCTATTTCTCTTCCAAGAAGCTTAATTAGCCACAAGTTCTTTAAATTAAATTGTTAATTACTTTGAAAAAAAAAAAAAAAAAGAAACTGTAGGTGACTCATTTCTGTTGAAGAATAATTAGCTACAAATTTGTCAAAGAAAATTTCAGGAAAATGCAGTAGAAGTGGGGCACTCTTCATGATCGATTAAAATCGAGCGCTCGTAGAAGAAGGACGTAAAAGGATAAAAATAATTTAACGTCCACTTCTTTTATTGCGTTCGAAAGAAAATGAGAAACGTTGTGTAAAAAATGTTTGCACGTTGGAACTGTGTCCCTCACCTAATAACGGATTCAATTACGCAGGTCTGTGTAGCACTCGAGGTTACCATGATGTACGGCGCAATGTAAAATTTAAAACTGACGCGTACCAAGACTCCTAACCGCCTCGTGACTTGTGGTTTCCGTTTCGGCGTTATGGTGGCCATACTAACCGGTTTCGGTCGGAAACGGGACACCTCGTTCTCTCCGGGGAAATGTCTAAAAACGACCTGACGTCGCTCGCCTGCCCGCCTTTTCCTCCGCGTATATATCCGGTGCCCAAACATTTTCCTACGAAGCTTGCCTTCCGCCCCATGTTAAAAATGCATCTCTGCCTGTATCCTGTATAATCTTGACTCATTTAACATAATTCATGAGAGAGAAACGCTCTTCCATATTTTTTACTCTCTTACGGATACCTTATCCTCGTAACACTGACGTTACCTCGAAAATAGGGAAAGATAGAGGATGATACTCGGCTAATTGCAAATAGACCTTTCATTATTTTGCATTTATATTACATAATGATATAAAAAAAGAAAAAAAAAACGGCTAACGAAGCCGCATGTTAAATAAATGGGACATTAATCTTATACGTCTGGCCTGTGATCAGTTCCGAGGGGATGTATAACGTGTAATTCGCTTAAAAATTGTATGAGAATGAAGGCAAAGTAGATCGAATATAAGAGACCGCCGTAAGAGCGACGTGCGATGGCTCCCGTGATGTTCAGGTAAATTATAGTGGCCACTAGTGAGAATAGAAGAAAAGCTAGGCAGCCCGGTGCCATATCGCCTATCCTGATCTTCGTCTGTTGTTCGGGATCAGCAGCAGCGCTGATGCCGTAGGTTAGCCCGAGTCCCAGTAGAGTGTTAAACATCGGCCCGCCGAAACAAGCTGCATATCCCATGCGCGGAAATCCCCGTCTGGCGATAGCGACGTTCGCTATGAGATCTAGACGGAGTCACGAATTAGTTTATATAAATATTGTAAAATTTATCGCTGACGAAACAAAACGAAACAAAAAATATTAAATATTGAGAGAAAACTTTAAAAAATTGTAATCGGTGAAAAATGTCTTAACGTCATAGGTACTTTACTTGTTATTTCGTTTTGTCCAACACTCTGGAAAGTCAATCTACAAAAGTACAATCTTGTCGACTGTGTGTTTTTGGTTTACCGCGTACACTGCCTTAAACTACTTTAAAAGAAGCATTTTTCACGCGGCTCACCTCCGATGCTGTTTCCCCATGCAAGAAAAGTGATACCCAGCATGGCGTCGGATATACTGCATGCGTATCCTATGCATTGGAGTACCCCCATGACCTCTCTGGCCACCAAATAAACCGTCAACATGGCAGCCAAAAATCCCAAAAATGCAAAGACCTGGAATATTGATAACGATATTTTTTTTTTCTTTTCTTTTCTTTGAATGTCCCGAGCGCTTGGAAAACTCCGGCGATTTTTCCTACTAAAGAAAAGTACTCACATTATGGAACTTTGGAACGCGATCCACGTGCGTCGTTAGAAATACAATTACACCAATTATGGTGCCGACAACGAGGAATATCAGCACCACCGGCAAATTGCCAAAAGTCGTTTGCCAAACTGCAATAAAACAGTTAAAATGAAATTGAAGTTGAGTGGTACCGACCGTTATGGTATCAAGTGTCGATACGATTATGCATTATTGTACCGTTTGTCTGGATTTCATATCTATCACTGTTTTATAACAGAAAAACGTTCCGGAGAACCTTTTTATAATATCGTTGGAAATTATTCACGAAGAAAGAATATACGGGAGAAATATCAGGAAGCAATACGCAGCTATTTTTAATATTTTAACAGAAAAATTAAATTTTTTTCATCACCTTATTTAAACAGCATTTCGCAAAAAGTATGCTCTGACTTTAAGTCAGATTAAAACAGTCAGTTTTAAAAGCCTCCCATTCCAAAAATTCAACATAATTAAAAATAATTTATAATTATGTGATATATGTATAGAAGTACGGATGAGCGGACTAAAACTAACCGTTCAATAGAAATAAACTGATCGTAGGTGTTACGCATAACTGGAAACAATTTAGCAATTTTGACCAGCCTCTTTTCTCGACGGTAGGATTTACAACCGGTATAAACAGTTGTAATAATAACATGACGGGTGAGCGTACAATTAAGATGAACTTAAAAAATATATTCGATTTCTTCCAATCGTCTTCGCTAATCGGATTGACGTCGTACAAAAATTCCCTGAAGAGACCTTTTGGTCGGTCGGAAATGTAGTCACTAATTTCCGGACTTAACTGGACAGATTCGCCCCGTATCTTGGCTCTCTCTAACTCCATTGCTACGGCGATATCTGATGACAAACGTATATAAGCACGTAAAAACATGAAATTCGAGTCATATATGAATATATTGATATTTTAGGAGAATTTATTAAATAAATCTATTTTAAGAATTTGAATTTTTTAACATTGAAAATAAAATTTATAAATAAATTTTATTCTAAACTTTTGTTTGTACCAAAAACATTTATTAAATATTTATTACACATTATTTTTTTTATTGCAAATTATGAAAATATGCAAATATTTATATTGAAAATAATCAATAATTGGTAACAAATTATATATCTTATAAGCTAAACTTTTAAATAAATATTTGATAGATAATTTTAATAAAGATCCGTATATTATGAGCCTTCGATGCATAGCGAAAATAATGGCATCGTTTCGGAAAAAAATTCGAACTATTGAAAAATTCAAAAGAGCTAAAGACATGGATATGTGCGACGAGTCGTAAAAACGACGCTCAGTACCTAGCTTGGCATGTAAGCCAAAAGGTCGGGTTCTACCGGGAATCTTGGGAATGGCGCCTGTGTCTCTGTTCGCCAAGTAAGTATGCAGGACGTCTGGATCAGGCACACTTGGGATCCTGGCTGAAAGTACATAAGAATGTTCTCGGGAAAAGAAGATCGATACTTAGTATGGTGAAAATTTTCTGTAGGCGATAAGGAAGGGGCCCATCTTTTTCACATTGCAGCGAACTCATGGATTGTGAAGAGAGATATTTCTCGCTTTAGAATAGAAATAGTTCTCGAATGCACATTGATCATAAAATTTTGGGCATAGAGGTATCTCAAGAATATATCTTTCTCCGTGAACTAGAACTCCCACAGAAACAAGTAGCTCTCTTTGCACGCGCGAGAAAAATGTTGTTAATGTAAACTTGTATTTTTTTTCAAAGTCATGAGATTTCAGTGTTTATCGCTTGAGATATTTAAATGTTAAAAACTTTCGTATACATTCGTAAATAATTCGTAAGTCGAAGACTTTACTTTTCAAATTCTCCTCTCTGATTTCATATGCTTGCGTTATCATGACTGCCACGATGAACAGTGCATAGACCAGGATAAAGCCTGCAATTAAAATGTATCAGCATTAAGAAGCATTAATGTGGGTTATTTTCCTACGCATACCGCGTACGAAATAATGAATGGTCTACATACATGATATTACACAAAAAAAAAAAAACGTGGGTGACACCCGCCTTTTCTTCTTAATTAAAGAAAAAAGGTCTTAATTACCCCTTTCTTCTTAATATACGAACAGAAAAAGGAAATAATGCCGGAGGCGGAATTTTAAGAGCTCTTAATGAAGTAAATAATAAGACAATATGCACACTGAGCTCAGCGTGAGTTTTTCTTGCGAGATTTATACATGTACAGTCATATTAAGACTGGCGTTGCCTAGATGAACCATTAAGCATTTAGATGAATAAAAATTGAATTTCTGTCCATCTATCTCTTTACCATCTCGTCGCGCGATATGAAAAAGCTGAATCATGATATTCGACGGCTTTATGCGTGGTTTAATAATAGCCTTTATGTATACCGCTTTGTTCGGGCGCAAGATTATTTCTATGGACTTTATCCATTGCAACAATAATCCCTGTTTTCCCGGTGAAACGAATTCCTTGCCGCGGAATCCCGCAAAAATTCATAGACAGTCAGATTGCCCAGTCGGGCAAGTGGTGGAGAGACTGCGGCGTAGCTTAATTAAATTCGCCGAAGAATTATCGTTATTCCGGAATGAAACCACTTATGGCTTCCCGCAAATAAATTTTCTCACTGAGCGTGACCTAACCGATTTTGTGTTTTGCGAAATATCAATAATTTACCAAATACTATTCTACAATTATTTCTATCATTGCCTATCATAACAAAATCAATATCACAGCTTAATCACTTCACTTGGCATTTAATTATGCATTTAAATGTTTGAATAATATTAGAATAATATTGTTTTAATAAAATTGTAATCATACATATACACATATAAAACGTCAATAATACGTTTATGTAATACGTAATATTATAAGACACATAATTTTTGTTATTTATTTCTTGATAATTCGCAGAGAAATTCGAAATTCAAGTAGAATTTATGGAAGTTATTACTAATACGAGTTAACCCTTCCATTCTTCAGTTCAGTTGACATAGGTTGAAACGGTTGAGATCACATATTTATTCTATTTGGGTATTCATGCATAAATCATTGGCATTAGCATTTGAGAGCATTACGAATAATAATTAATCATGTTCCTCCGTACCTTCTCTTATACGAGATAATAATCGATAACATTTAATAAACGGATGTATGAAGATAGAAAAAATATCGCAATCTTTTTCTCTCTCTTGCGTACCATCTCCTTCCGTATGCAAAAGATTCTTTTATGATTGTACTCGTTAGAATCATCCGTCAATTGCAAGTCGATAGTTAAAAAAGCTCGATGAAAACGGAAAGAAATAGAAAAGCAATTTATTTTTATCGTGCTCATGAATGATACGATCGATTAGCGTCTAAATGCCAAATAGAGAATCGTTACATATGGCGGCGGACAGGGAAGAGTCGACCAATATTAGCTTATCGGATTTGAATAAAGATAGTAGACGTACTTACGGCCTCCCAGAGGTAAACCATCTCGTCCCACACCACATAGTTTATCCAGCACACAGAAACGATATAAAAACAGGCGTCCCTCATGAGGGACTTGAGCGAAACTTTAAAGGGCTTAATTATCGCGACGGAACCAGCGATCATCGAGGTCACGAAGACACCTGCGCTGATTAATTCGGTGAACATTATTATCGCCTCGTCGCCTCTCGTCACGAGGGACGTGAAGATGTCAGGCGCGCCGTTTCCGAATGCCAATATCGTCACTCCTGCTATGCTATCCGATAGGCGCATTACACCGGCTATTACCGCCAGTGCTGGACAAAAACTGGAATGAAAATGTCGTGAATGAATTATTTACGGCGTCTATTTATACCACAGCGTGTTCGTTCGATTCGTGTCG